TGTTAGCTTGAATTTTGTTGTGACGATGTTACCTCGCTCTGATGATGTTCCTCATATGACGGAGGAAAGCTTAGCAACTTTTCACCGGAATCGAAGGAGATTACCTCGGAAACACCGTCATCATGAATCTCTTCACCCAACACTTTCACTCGAAATGGAAGTAAGCTCAACAAGATTATGGAGCCTTGAGTGTGGATACATTATTCTTTAATATAAAAAGTATTTACCCTATTTCGTTTAAGGTGATGAAGGACTGGCAGTAGAATTTTCCCACAATGATATGAGTAGAGCTGACGTTTCCATTCAATTTGACATAGCCTTGCTTTCCCAAAAGTTGTTCTCTCACCTCTTTTGGCAAACTAGAAAGGTTTTCAAGAAATCATCCCTTCAAGCAAAAGTGCTTGGAGATCTACTTGGCGTTTTGGCCAAATGGAAGGGAGAACCTGAACGATGAAATGATTAAATTGGATATTGAAATATATTTGCGAAAAGGTAGTAAAATCAGCATCAAAGCAAGGAACATCAAAGAAAATGAAAACCGAAAGATCAGAAATAATGAAACATAATACTCCGACTAGGCACCAGTAGGAGAATAATCGAATCTCTGGGGCCATAAACAAGGTTTGGATAAGCAATTGAGGTGAATCGAGAGGAGGAGACAGGAGGCAAGGTGAACATTCAGGAAACACCTCGTGATGAGTCTAATCTAAATAAGTCAGAAGTTGTGCGAAGTAGGGAGTGAGATACGATGATCGGGAATAGGTAGATGTACCAGAACAGGATTGATAACACAACTGTTCAACAGAAAGTTGTTTAAGTGATTTACTTTACTTGTCTCTTTGATGAGTTATAGCTTGGGACTCGGTGACGTTGCCGGCGCAATGTCTGGGAATTGTCATGGCTAATAGAGTCAAGGACCTCTTACAAAGTTCGTTCAACTAGGTCTCCTTGATAAGATGATCACGTCGTAAAAGTAGGTCAGACCACAAATCTAGAAAACCTAGTAAATCTACCCATAGCCCTCACACCACATATGAATCGAACTATACATACACATAGCACACATACAACTATATACCAAAACTTGTGACAACATCGTAGGCTAAATCGCTAGTTTGTGAACGTATGGAAACTGTTGACATAACTACATCCTTTTAATGCATCAATCACACCCATCTTCAATCATGTGGTGCAACCGACCAAATCATAGGATGCCTCATTAAAGTGACAAAATTAAATTTAATATATAGTTTATCTTTGACTATTTTTGTCACAAAGGCTTAGTACTAATTTGCCAGAACCGTAGACTTCTTCGCATAATCCAAGGACATCAACTTTTAGTTCCCAATGTTGCTAAACAACTTTTCATTCAAACTGCAAAGTCGTGTTATCGAGTACAGGAGTCTTGGTAGTACTCATTTGGTTGATATGCCTGACCATTTTCTATCTTACTATATTACCCTCATAACACAGACACTCAACTGACGCCCAACAGTGAAATGAGCCCCGAAGAGGTCGGAGGAGCTGGATTCAGCGGTGGTCTACCGTCCAACTGTTCCGCAGCCTCGGGCCTCAGTGGGCTGGCAGGATCCTCGGTTGCTATGTTCACCGGCGGCAGTGGCAGCGGCAGCGGAGGGCGTGATGGTAGGAGTGGAGGCACTCCGGGCGGCCAGTCCACCATGTTGCCTGGCAACAGTAGTACAGGCAGTGGAGCAGGTCTTGACATGAGTGGAGCCGGAGGAGGTGTGATGTCTTGTAGCATTTTAATGTCCGACCCTGGCGTATTTTCCTCAGGCTCCTCTCCATTGCCCAACCAGACGGTCGGCTCCACCACGGGACCGGGCGCCCTTAGCAACGAGGTGTCGGGCAGACGAGTTGGCGGCCTGCTAGGCCTGACCGAGTCGAGTCAAGGCCAGGTTCAGGTATCCGGTTCAGGCTTGACTCCAGTTGGGACTCGACATTTGCCAGGAATGGGGATAAATGGACAGAGCAGAAGTGGGACTGGCATTTCAGGGGGCGGTGGCCCGGGGAAATCGAGCAAACGGTCGAAAGACCACAAAACGACCAGAGTGAGTCTTGAGAAAAAGATATGAAATCGAAGCATAGACAGACTCCCAGCCATGCCTGTTCACTTTATATTATTGGGGGGACTTTCATTTGGTATGAAAGTGCTTAGCCCATTTTCACCCGAAACGAGGGAGGAAATCTCGTGTACTGCGTCAACATGTACATCGGATAAAAGCCAAACGGCTGCAGTACAACGAGATTCATCCGTCCTCATCTGGTGAGCTCGACCAACGGATCTCTCCTTCATGCACTTTCATACGAAAGGAAAGTCCCCCAACAATTTTAGCTAAAGAGATTCATCGAAACACAGTTTCTCCTTGTATCTACACTTTATATTGTGAGAAAAAAAGTTGAATTTCGAGGAATCTCTTGTTTCCTAATTGTTCAGTTTACTTCCATTTCGAGTGATTCCATTGCACTTGAATCGAACGAGATTACCTCTGAAACAGCGTCTACATGCATGCTCTAATAAAGCCAATCGGCAGCTGGTCAAGAGGAATCCGCCGTCGTCTTCTGGTGGGATCAACCTTCGAATCACTTCACCAAACACTTTTGCTCGAAATGGAAGTAATCTCAACACTTTTTATTAGCCGATAATTTAGTGACTCAGATGCGTAAAGACCAATACGTTTTGTTGGTCATGTTGCCATGGCAAATTTCGATAAATTTAGAGGTTGTTTGACCTTGTTTTCGCAACATGGTCATATTGGTAGGAAAACTTATTGGAACGCACCTAG